GGCTACTATCCTGGATAATTTGATCTTCTCTTCTTCCAGGATAAATTTGACCTATGAGATTAAAAATGGACACATTGACCCGCTAAATATATCCTTGCCTCAGGCCCATTTATGTCTTCAGTTGTGCCTGCTCAGTGTGCTCCTCATCATTTTCAGTGTTTATGAATAGGAACTTTAATGGAAAGAAAGGTGCCCTGTACTAGCAGCAGCAGGCTATTCTAGGAGCTGTGTGAAACCAGAACTGTGAGGTTTCACACAGTTCTTATTTATAGAAGCAGAGTTTCCATTCCTTATAAGTATGACCCACAGTACAATTTTACTTTATATCACACATTCCCATACATATTTGAACTGTAGTAGATCGATTTAGATTCATGTATTTGTTTATATTTTATTTCTTGTGTTTAGCGTTTACAGAGCGATTGATATCAGCACTCACACCACAGAAGTTATAAGACTAATTTGTTGTTGGCAGACAGGTAAACAGTCATACATGCTGTAAAGCAACCCATAGGCATGAATTGATAGACATGTATTCAGGAGGTCAAGATTACTGTTGCTCTCTACTGGGTTAGGCATTTTATCAGAGTTGCTCTCCTCCTGTAATATATTCACCTAGTCTCCCCTGACATCAGTGTGGAGTCCCGCCCTAACCAATCATGTCATGGCACGTCACCCGCTCTCTTCCTCCTTAAGCCGGGAAATTCAAACACCGTGTAATGTGTAGACGCTGGCTCCCTGACACTGCATCGGCTGCTCTTCTCTTGCATATGCAGTGTGCGTGCACACTGCATATGCAATACTGCTGCTGTTCCCTGTTTGCACTTCCCTCGGACACAGTTTGATCCACAAATCCTGCGGAGGATTACTTACCCTCAACAAGCTCCATGCCTCCTTTGAAGATTCTCCTAACCGCAATTACCGCCATATTTATTATATAACTGTATGAAGTAATACAGGTCATAGACTTTCTGAGTTCTTTTATCTACTCCCTGTGTGTGAGCCTAAATGAAGAGACGTATACACTATCTGTATGAAGTAATACAGGACATAGATCTTCTAATCTGCTCCATGAATGACCCTTGTGTGATTTTCTTACCAGTATGGCGTAATACAGGACTGCTTGATTGCCAAAAGGAATTATTTCTCTGGAGACTGTTGTGTTTTATATGTAAGAAGCATAACAAATCATATTTGTGACTGGACATTGAGCAGGAACTAAGCCATCCCATCTGATTCTCTGAGTGAACGCATGACTAGACCAAATACCTGTGCGTTCTGCAGTTGAGATCCATCACATAAAGGTACAGTTATTACACCTCCTCCAAATTCCCTCTCTATTTCAACAAATGTTGGTGTATGTTCTTGTCAGCCTCCTGCCACTACAACTTGGAAGACACACGGTAAAGCATGTATCCATCACCGTTAGATTTTGGAAGAGAAAAATAAGTAACAAGGAACAGTTTGTCCATCTTCTCTACTTCTTGTTACTGGACAGACTGGACTGTTACACGGACAAAGAATCATAAAAAATTATGTTGGAGGTAAATTTGGTACAATGCCATAAGGTGTAATTTGGTGACATCATCATGTCACCAAACTAGGGAGGTTCGAGGACGAAAGATCTGAGTAGGACTAGGTGCACCATGTATTAGAGAGTTCACCAAGTGCTGCCATTGTGCACATACTGTATGTTGAGTGCACTAAGTAAGGCATGTGTTTTTAATCTGTTTTGATAAAACAGTTATTTTAAAAAATGGGCATCACTATGCAATATTTTTTTTGAGCTGTTCCTACATGAAACATATCAATGAAGGAGTGAGAGGAGTTTATTGTGGATCCTTTTAAAAGTAAACAAACAGGTATGATTTTTGTTTGGTTCAAAAAAAGTTTTCCAGCCTGCTTGATCAAGGAAATTCGGCTAGTTGTACAGTATTTGTGAACATTCACTTCCCATCAACTGGCCAATTACGTGGATGATTTCCAAACGATAATCGATAGGTGTATGGGCACCTTAAGTTCTATTTCTGTCAGGAGTGTCACTGGCCCAAGACGGGGAGTGGAACCCACTGGCAGTAAACAGACCTGAAGGAGATCCGCAAAAAGGTACAAGAGAGGTAAGTCCAAATACATAGTCGGTGTACGGTCCGGGTCGAGGCAGGCAGCTTAGGTTCAAAACGAGAAGACAGGCCAAGGATTCGGTAGCCAGAAGTCCAGATGAGGAGTCAGGGAGCTGCAGAGAAATCAAGAGCAAGATGCTTAGTAACTGCACTATATAGGCAGAATAACTCAGCAACGAGCCAGGGCTCTGGCTGGGATTTAAAACCAGTGGAGATCAGGACCGCCTCTGGCTGCCGAGACAACCAGGAAGCTTCCCTCTCTAGGAATCAATAGAAGGGGAGGAAACGGGAAGGTGTGTGCTGGGAACCTCCCCCAGCATGACCCACACCTGAAGACAATGATGGGCACGCGCACACATCGTGCAGTCTGTCTGCCACGCATGCGCACCCGCAACCCTGCCAACAGGAGTTCGGCCAAGCTGAAGGAGACCCTGCGCCCTGCACCATACCTGGCAACCCTGAGGTGAGGTGGCTCCTCTGGTTCCTTGACAATTTCCAAGGTGAGCAAAATTCCAATTAAGGGAGGGGAGAGCACTGGTCGATGGTGATTGTTATATGGTGGAGAGAGCACTGTGAGAAAAAAGTATGTTGTACTATAAAGGAACTTTTTTCATTGAGGACAGACATAATCTTGGAATCAAAGTGGATGTTATCACAAATACATTGGAAATATAGTGTGATCATCTGACTTTTTTGTGCATAAATTCACTTTGTCAAATACAAATACTTTAGAGCACTGGTTTAAAATTGTTTATGGATATGCATATGTACAGATACAATTGAAGTGGATTTGATTTTGACATTTAAGGAGGTTTTTGAGGAGTATAAGCACTTGTATGTTTAGTTTGGTCTTATTTTGGGATTGAGAGCACAGTACTAATAATTAACTATTTACATATGGTCTAACTCAATTATTGTTAGCTTCTGTTTTTTTTTTTATTGTACCAAGTGAACCTTCGAAAAGAGGTTGAAACTAGGGATGTTCAGATACCAAGTAACATACTTGGTACAAGTACAAGTACATGTACAGATACTTTTCCAGCTCCAAGACTAGACTAGAGAAAAAATCAAAAGTTAGGAGGCAGCTGTCATTTTTAAGGAGCATACGGAGCTCCTGGGATTTGTGCATCTCTGTTTTAATGTATGGTTTTTTAAATAAATATATACATAAGTGATGCACCGATACCATTTTTTCCAGTACAAGTACTGGTACATTTTTATTTAGTGTCATGTGACAGTTTTTCTAAAACACTACAGACTAATGATTTCAGGACAGTAGTTGAGCGCCAGAGCTAAGTCCCAGCTGCAACCTCTGCAACCGCTGCAACCTTGGTAGTTCTTGAAAATGCCAACTATCGGCACTGGTATTTCAACATCCGTAGTTGAAACAAAGAGCAATAATTGAATTTCTGCTGAAGTAGGGTTGTTCAGCTGTTGAGATCCATACATGCCTGAAGAATATGTAAACTGAAAACCAGGCAGATTGACAAGGCATTGAATGGTACAATTTAAGCTCTCCTCATCCAAAGAAATTCAAATCTGCTAGATCTGCACAAAAAGACATGACAACCATGTTCTGGGATAACCAAGGCATCATTCTCGTGGACTTATGGATAAAGGCACAACAGTCAAAGGTGAAACCTACATTTGTACACATTGAAAGCTGAAGGAAGCCATCAGAAAGAAAAAAACACAAAAAGATCTCCAGGCCATACAACTGGACCATGATAATGCACGCCCACACACCTCTTATGTTGCCAGTCAGGTGACTGCCAAAATAGGCTGGTCAGTGGTCCCATTTTCACTCTATAGTCCATAATTGGCACCGTCTTGGACCAATGAAGGATTTGGACCAATGATTATATTCGTAGCTATGAGGACCTGCAGAAACTTATAATAGCTCTGAAGCAGTGAAACACAGAGGGTTTTCTAGATTTTATCCAATCTAGATTTGAGCATGGGTAAAACGATGGCACAAATGCATTGAAGGTGATGAATTTATAGGCTAACTGTATGTATGTTGATTGTTTCCATCTCTGCATAATTAAACATTTTATATCTATCATTCTATATCAATAGTATTATGCTAGTATGTTTTACTTATGAGGTGCATCAACTTGGCATGTTGCTAATATGTAAAATTATTTCAAGACTGTTCATTGAGCAAGACTGCTTGTTTTGTAATTGACTGATGTTGTTATGCATGAATATGAGTAAACACAATACACTGCACCCTTCCTAAACAAGCATATTATTATGCATATTAAATATATAAAAATTAAAAACAGTGATAGCTGTACTTTAACTGTAAACATGTGTATGTTTTTAGGAATCCAGTAAAGAACACTGACCCTGTAGGTTGGTTTCCTCTTTGGCAAGGATACATGTGGTTTGCTGTCAATATTAATAACAGAATAGGAAAAATAAATACATAGCAAAGGGGATGTTCTGTTCCAGAAAAGGTAGCATACAAAATTTTAGTATGCAGGTTCAAAAGTCCTGTAGTATAATGTTATGCTACTAGCACAACTTAAGTACCACTCAAAATGAATGCAGCTCACTTACTCGTGGCCTGTCACTTCTCCCCTTTGAATATGAAGTTTCTCCTCAAAGCAAAATTAAAACCTGGACTAAGATACATTTTATAAGGCATCACCTAGCCTACCAAATTTCACACATTTGGAAACAATATATAGGCTTATTTTTTTAATGAAAATTATTAATACTGAAACTTTCCAGCGCAATCATTGTGGCAAGTTTCACATGTCATAATACAATAATAGTTAGAAGATAACATGTTCTGTTCATCCAGATATGGCTTGTTACCTCTTGACATTGCAAATCATGGTAACTGTCATTTCTCCTTTATTTTCATTTCAGTGGGAAAAGCTACAGATGACAAAAAGTGAGCGGCGGAAAATAGTCTGTTCTGTAACATTTCACATAATTGCCATTACATGTGTAGTATGGTCGCTATACGTGCTTATAGACCGAACAGCAGAAGAGATCAGGCAAGGCAATGACAACGGTAAGATATTTTACATGACTCTCAGCTGTCATACCAAACAGTAAGATAATGCATAGATTAACCTATTGTTCCTTAGAAGACACAGCACAATGCAGTATTAATATACTGTGTCCCTAAATCAAGAGAACTTCAAGTGGGTACCAAAAGATCCATTTTCTTTTGTTTGTTTAGTGGCAAACACAACACTATGGTATATACAGTATATGCTCCTTCTGACTGACAATCCTCTTGTAGATAGGACATATACTTCATATTACTGTGTCTTCCAAAGATCTCAGCAACAAGCTGAGTTTTGTAGTTAGCATAAAAAATCCAGTTTTCTACACATACAAATAACTTGTAAATAAAAGGGAATTTACACACAATCAGATGCTTGGTAATGCAATCAAGCTGTGATAGCCAATATGATGATGTGCAAAGTAACAAAGTAACCCTGAGCATTTTATCAGAAATCAGCAATTAACTTATTTGATTAAACTAACTAGAAATTTGAATGATTTCTAGGGTTCACTAGACAAAAGCAGTATCTGGGGTTTGCAGTTCTTTTCCTCCTCCAGCATATAATGCTGTGTCCACAGACAGGGCATGGTCAATGACAGTCAATGACAGTAAGCCTGTGGAATGGTTGCCATTAGCTCCCCTTATTGCTGGCTGTTTAAAGTTTAAGCACTTGTGATAAAGGATAGCTCCATAGACACATTGGATACTGTAATACACTAGCTATACCAATGGTTTTGTAAGTGAAACACATTCTTTCTGTTTAATCTTATTAAAGTGATGTTTTGCACTATCCAGTATGCTTTGATTTTAATCTCGTATTGTCACACAAAATATATTGTTTGTATCCTTCAAAGAGTAAAATGGTACATAGGGGACAGCCACATTCAGATATATTTCCAGAAGAAAGTTCTATGAGGAATTAATGAAGAATTAAAGAAGAATTGTCTAAATTCACTTACATATTAAATAAAGTATGGAAGATAGTAACATGATAACTGACATAGTAAAAAACAAAAAAATATCACTATGGGTGTTAGACTGTATCCCTGGTCCTTAAGGGTATCTTTTTGATAACTATAATCTTTATTATCATTGCTCAGCAGATTTACATTCTATTTTTCCACTGAATCAGCTATCGCTAACGTTGTAGCAGATGTTAGAAAGAGACTGCTAGAATCTGACTGATTGCTGTGGGCCAAATTGTAGTTTTTCCTTTGAATAATGAGCCTTTTTTTTATCATACATTAAGACTAAAGCATTATGACAGTTTTTATCTTTGGTAACCAGAACAGAATATGTACTGTATGTATATATATATATATATACAAATACATACATATACTTTAAATGACCTTTTCAATTTGTCAAACATTTGAAGGCTTGCTAATGTTCTTTGCATGAGAGTTGCACTGCACTCACTCTCCTTACCAAAGGATTTTTCCTTGCTGAGACCTTACGACATGGCATGCAAATTCTGACTTTTCTTTAAAAGTTAATAGTAAGAATTTTTAAGCTTCCTTGGCCACTTCCATTTTGATGCTGCTCTCCTGCCTCAGCCACCAAACTACAGCCACGATATGAAGGCAACCTTAGATATCGATTGCCACCAGACAGCCCTTCTATAATTCACATTCTGGGCTTAGTCCAGGGTTGTTTCAGAGCTCAACTCCAGCCATAGCATTTTTCCATTTCTTAACTTTGGATAGAGTGGGGTTTTATTTTTGACCTGTATACAGCTTATGTACCAGAATAATTTTTGCTCTTCCACTATGGCCCTGTTTATTCAGCACAAAAATGTCAAAATGTAAGATAATAAAGTAATAGTAGTTTCTCTTTGGGGACAAATAAAGCTTTCTTTTGCGATGTTGTCTTGTAAACAATTTTGTATTGTCTATGAAATATAAAGACAACAAGACATACAACATTGTAAAATGTGTTTTTTTTTTTATTTTGACCAGTGTTAGCTTTAAAAATAATGTTACTGTAGATAAAAAGTACACATTTAATTCTGTAATTTGTCCTTTTAAAATTACACCAAAAAATTATGTTTCTGGTACAAAATAATGCAAAGTTATTTATGGCAAGCTGCCTGCAAGTGTCATTGAGTAAATACAACGTAACAATGTTTTGCCGGTCTTTGCAGTGGGGGAGTGGAGGCAGATGAGGAGCAGGATGTAGGAGATACACCTAGAAGCTTTGTTGACATTTTCAAGCACATATTTCTTACCTCCCAATAGAGGAGCAGACCCGAAGGGTTTTCTCTTCTCTTTCGGTGCTGACACTTGTCACAGGGAGTAGGAGGACACAGACAGCAACACAATCCTGAGGGAGGAAAATAGGTGTTTTTATTACTGACTGTGTCCCTGTGGAGAAGGGAAGCAAGGTTGGGCACCCATTAAATAGAGAATGTGAGGAGAATTTTCCACAATACCTGCTAAATAGACAGGAAGTGAGAAGAAATCTGCTAAATAGGGACACATTGATAATGACTTTAACCATCCTATTTTGTAACCAAAAATGTAAAAAAAAAAAGCTTTGCATGAAGTTGGATTTTTCTATCTTTTATTATACTGTATAAATTCCTGTATACTAGATTGTATACTGCACACATACAGTAACTAATGCATAGGGTTAAATTCACATGGATGGTTATTTAGCTGTCATAAGCCCTTATATCTCATTAATTGTTACATTTTCCCATGAATTGTTTTATCTCCACCACAGATAAAGTTATTTCTGCTTGTCAATAGATACCTCTTAGATCCTCATAGAAGCCAAATACTCCAGAATTAATACAAGATGAATGAGGGAAATTCATATTGTTCATGTGATTAAACCTGTAGTGAAAAGAAAACATAATTTTTTTTAAGTAAAAACAAATATAAAACAGGAATACGTTTTGCCTTAGTGGAGTAACCAAAAAGTACTTTTCTAAACAGCCTAACCACTTAGAAATAACTATAGGATTGTCCATATTTGGATGCAGGATAATTGCAAAAACTGCATATATGCAGCTGGTGAGGGGTTGATTTAGGGCAACATAACAGGTGTATTTTGAGGTTGGATCTAGCTTCTTTGTCATGAAACACATTGAGACATAGAGGCCTTTTATATAATATAAGTATTAGGTATCCCAAAAACGTATTCTCATCTCACCCTAATCTAAATGGAAACACAAAAACACTCTATATAATAGAGGCCTTTTATAGCTTTTTAAACACTTATGTCATTTTGAAGCTCTTTAAACTTCCGACCTGCAGAGACAAAAATGTCTGTGATTTTTCTTGTCCTGATAAGATATTCAGAAATCTGCAATTTTCCTGAGTAAAGAAAGAGAGAAGTGTTGACATTAGCTTATTATGCAGCGTAAAATATCAGCAAAACCATGAAAAAGGGAAATGCAAGTTTTCACCTTGCGTGTCTTTTGAAATTCTGTTCACTTTCTTCAGAAACACATTTATATGGGGAAACAACCAAATCAAACAAAACACATAGCCAATGAGCCTATAGGGGACCCCTTTCAACCCTCAAGTTCAATAGAGGCCCATAGACAGAGGGTGAAAAGTGGGTGCAGGAGATCTTGATCTTTCAAATCTGCATCATAATGCAGATTCAGTATACACAATTAGTAGTTGGCATTGAACGTAATATATTTTTAAGTAGCAACCTTTTACTGAATATATAGATTTGGCTAGAAACTGAAACTAAGCTAACTTCTGAGGTAACTTTGAACATGTATTTTCTTTCTTACATACTTACTTAGGTAAGTATATAATATACCTTTTTGTTTGCAGGTACATTTGTCAAGTACAATTAGATACCAATTTTTTACAGGAGGAGGAGGGCCAGATCTAATAAAGTTTAATTAACTTTTTGCAATACTTACGTAACACCTGACACCAGCTCTGCTCTCTCATCCTTGCTTCAATTAAAAGTAGCAAATAATTAAAAATCAGATGAAAAATAGGATTCAAGTTCTGGTTTTGCTTGAAGGAAGAATGAAATGTGGGCAAAGACATACAGGAAATGTGCATGAATGTGGTTAATCTATTCAAAGGTATTCATGGGGATAAAATGGACATAGAAATTTAAAGATGCAGGGTGAAAGATATTCAAATGTCATGCTGAAGCAAATAGGACATCTTTGTTTGATTACTTTAGTGACCCTTTAAGTGTTGGGGTTTAAAACTGCAGTAACAGTCTTGCTAGGACAGCATCCTGCCCAGCTCACTGATGTCATCTGGATGCCAGGAGCTGAGCAGGACACTCTAGTGACTGGCATCCCACCCAGCTCCTGCCAACCAGTGATGTCAGGGAAGTGAGCTTGTCATCCACCGCCAGCACCCCCAGCCCCCCCAAGAAAGGAGCATCCACCACCAGCAAACCCCTACACTTCCCCCAGAAATGAGCAACCACCTCCAGCTTAAACTCCCTCCCTGTAATGAGCATCCACCGTTAGCACCCCCCCACCTTGGGTGGCAAATAGTGTAGGGACACCCCTGGAAAAGACACTAGCAATTTGTTATATGATCTCTGCTAAACAGGAGGATCCGAATTAGGATTGGCCAATCTTAATCCGAATTAGGATTGGCTGATGTTTTCAATACTAATCAATATGATTCCTTTTTCTGCCTGCATAAGAAGAAAAATGACATCTGCAATCTGATTGACTGCTGTGCATGAAACGTGTTCCTTCTTATCTTCCACCTTTACACTTACCCTTGGCAATAAGCAATCTTAACATGGTAATTTTTAAGAAAGAGGGGTGCCATTAGGACAATGTAAAAATAAAGGGAAGTTGCTGTAGATATAATTGTATGTTCACAAATTGAATATTGCCTAAAGGTGCAGGCTTTACAATGTACTGTATATGCATTTTAATTTATTATTGACTTATAGGTTTAAACAAATCTGGGGTTCATTCTTCCCCTAATACTCCATATATTGTAGCATCACAAACTAGCTGAATTGTTCTTCTATAGGAAGCCAACTCCCAGTGG